TACGTTTCGTGTTCGAAACGCGTGTGCCGTAATCGTGGAAACACTCGCGGCCCTGATGCGGCCAGTTGATGGCCGCTTCAAGAGAGAAAACGTTCGCCGAAAATCCCTGAGAAACTTCGCCATGAGAGTTCGGCGAGAGCGTGAAAGGCAGCGAGTCAACCGGCTTACGCTCGGAATTTTCCGGATCGTCGACACGGGTTTTCATTTCTACGCGCAACACGGGCTTCTGAAAAGCGAGATACACTCTGCGCGTCGTCGCAAAGTTCCCTGGACAATAAAGAGATCAAAGGTCGGAGGAAAAGACACCGAATGGAAACGTATATCGGTATGGCGACGACGTGCAAGTATGTACGAGCGTAAGCGTGGCAGCTGCACGCTGAACCAGCCCCGAATTGTTCGAAATCTTTGACCCGTATGCGTACAGCCGTGAGCAAAGCAGTGAAAGAGTGTAATCGGCACCCGGGAGTCTTGTGACGTCTGAAAGCAGTAATTATAAACATATGCCAGACTCTTTTTCCGGCTACTGGCGTTTTCTGGACGGGCGTTCCAGTTGCCGCGTCAATAAGCTCGTCCCTTTCAAACGCGGAAGATTCATCAGCGGTCCAGTTCTTACCGAGAGAATTCTCGTAGATGAGTTTTAAGGGTATCTAATTTCTGTGCACTTTGTTTTATGTATTTCAATCGAAGTTGGTGTGGAATTTTGAATCTTGATCATTGAGGACGTAATGTCGTGCTAAAGTAATGAACTACAAGATGTGTAATTCCACTACAAGATGTGGTGCTAGAAGATTTATCCCTTGTTACAAGGAAATACCGTTCACTGAAGGAAAAGATTGATCACGTTCTTTTCACAAACCATTCAGAATATGTTCGAAACATCCTATGACGTTATTAAAATCGCTGTATCAACTGTAACTAAGAGGAATCAACTTGCAAGAACTGTCGCTGAAATCAACGATCCTTGCGAGAATTCGCCTCGAACTCGAGCATTTGCTATTCACACGGCAGACAAACATCGACGCGTATCAAACCGAGCGATCGAAAGCGGAACAACCGTAAAAACCATTGCCCGTGACTCGCAGTCGCAGAAACTCGCATTGTGCCGCGGAAAACAACGAAAACTTTCCAGCTATCTTCACCCTTGCATTTAACACACCAGCGTCTGAAATGCTCGTAACAAAACAAGAAGTTCGCTAAATCGACACGTTCGAAAAAAAGAGGAAAAGTAAAAAAGGACGATCACGAAGAGAGATGATTAGAAGGCAATTGATTCTCTGCTGCAAGGATTGTTTTGGAAAATATCGTACTTGCATTCCCATACATATTACGTTCAATTATTACTAAAAAAAGGTTTTACAACGTGATACACATTATTCACAAAAAATTTATCGGTGATTTATCGGTGTAGCGATCAGATTGAGAAAGCACTCCTTCGTCAAACGAAATCTCACCAAAAAAAAAAAAAAAAAAAAAGAGAGAAAAGACGAAGAAAGGAAAAGAAAAGAGAAAGCGATCGCAGAAATGAGAACGATTAGATTAAGACGCTTGTGCAAACTGGCTGGGAAACGAGGCGAACGCCCGATCGTTAATATCCCGTAATCTTAAGACGAACCCGTCACTGCCACGACGCGCGTCTCCAGTCTTCCCCGTTTTAGAGCCACCAGAATTATGGATGCGTTCCACTTCCGGCAACGCACGGAACACGGAAGCGCGATGTACGCTCTCCTCCCCCGTCCGTTACGCCCCCCGCTTCGTTCCACCCGTTTTCCATCCGTGGAACATCAGCCTCCCCCCCTACCCCCCCCCCCAACCCCTCGGCACGCGTTCATCGCTGTAGTGCAGCGGCGAGAATGTACGAGGAGGCTGGCCGTCTCTCCTCGTCGAAGTTGGCAACAGCATCTGGAGCGTTAAGGCGAATGAGCGATGTGCCGGTGTCTTGCGGTATGATGGATCGCCCAATACCCAGCCAATATGCAGTATTGCGCGCGGAGTGTGGCAAACTGGTATCCATGCATCAAATCGGCGTTAGACGGAAGCCGAAGCGGTCTGCTCGCGTTTACAGGATACAGTGTAACGCGCCGATGTGTCCAGCCAGCTTCTCGTGGTCGGGTTCTTGTCACCCATTCCGTGACCATGCTGCCGCCGCAACGCCGGCTATACTGCACCGGCCATACGGCGTTCTCGGCCATACGCTCCGCTATACCGGACACGCGTTCGCAATTTTCCGTTCGCCGTTCGGGACCGGTCGAATCGATATACGGACATATATATATACCGGACTCCGGAGAAATTGCACGATGCTACAGGATGTCGCCATCTATTTAGCGACGATACCTGTACCTCGTATCTTTACGGGGTGGCTTTTCACGTGATTTCTTTTCTTTTTGCTTTTTTTTTGTTGGAGCGAGTAAGGAAATATAGAATGGTGTATAGTATAATATAAAGTATGTATATAAGTATCAAAAGAAAATATATATATATATATATATATATATATATATATATATATCAAAAGAATGAAGAGAATATATATCAAAAGAGAAATCTTTCCGTTCCTTTGAAAAAAAAAATGATTGTATCCTTAATTCTATTGAAATATAAATTACTCGCGAAGATTTGGAAGCAAAGGAAATATCCTGTTGTGGATCGAATCTTTGATCCTGTAGGTATCGCCAAGTAAAAGATCAATTGAAAAAGAAAGCTGAAAATGTGCTATTTACAGTTACCCAATTATTTATGAATCTATATTTACGAAAAACTGAATCCACTCTTAAGATAAAAATACTCTGATATCGAATAACTGGAATAATTTGGTGGCTACGAATGACAATGGACATGATTAATGACAAAAGACTGAAAAATAATTGCGTTCTTTCCATGATCGTTGAATGAGTAAATACTTGGTAGAAATGGAATACGTCCGCGGTAATGGTTCTCACCGCCACATATTTTGCGAGCTACGGACTGTAAATGTCTAGACAAAAGACCCTCCAACAATGCAGCACATATTCCTCCGTCCTTAACCTACAAACTTTCATAAATAACTGGTGTACAACCTTCCTACGTAGTACGAGTATTCTCATTAACTCCTATCATTGATAAAGTCTCTTGCTCTTCCCAAACATCAACGAAACTTGGAAACTTTCGTATCTGATTAATCATTAATGTCGTTTTCCGAAGAAAACGTGACGGTATATTAGGTAGGAAATGTAAGAAATCCTGCGGAAATTCACTAAAATATTTTCCAAATTATAAAATTCTATTCTTCAGAAAATGTTCGAAGAAAAATCTTTCTCATTTTTTTGGTAGTTCATTACTTTTCAATACACCAAAACCAGAACTTTAAATGAGTCGTTCGGAAGCCAAATTGGTGAAAAACTATAGGACCGAAGAATATAGAAAAATGGCACGCTGTTTCAAAATTTTAAAATCTTCAAATTTACTGCTATTTGCAGTCTCGTCGTACTTCAAGGTGAATTTTAACTTCTGAGAGACTCAAATGAAAGATGGAAACTACGAAATGAAAACAACGATTGGCTTGTAGCAACTGTGATGAACGCGAAACTTTAGAATCATCGACTTCACGCGATCGCGCTTCATCCAGAGCTGGCAGGCAATAAAAACCGAGAAAAATGTGAAAAGGAAGGAAGAAGAAAGAAAAAGAAAGAAATTACAACAAAAGTTGCAACGTGTAATTATTCCATTCGCGATAAGCCAACGGCGGAACGAGCATGCTTATAGCGGTTTATTTCGAGACCGCGGCTTTAATTGTGAACCAAGCGAAGTGTCTACTAATTGTAGGAACGGCGTACAGCGAATTCGTTTTAATAATACCGGCGTTGATTGCCATGCTGCTCGCGAGCCACTTGCCGAGATTTTAATCGACCTCGCGTTTCCGATCTTGCGATTATTTCTTTTTTTTTTTTTTCTCTCCACTCCCTTCTTTTCTGATGGCTTTATTTTGCGAGGGTACGCTCCCGTTTCGAAAATAGTCGTAGGCGCAAGATTCGTCTCCAAGATAACGCGAGACAAATTGTCAAGGTGACAGGAATTATGTTACGAAAGATAGGATAAGAAACACTGACGTCTCTTTTGGAGAAACTGATAACGCTCGATAACTTGCCTCGGTGGACCAAAAGGAGATAGTGTGCTCGCGTTAACTTTAATTATGATAATTAGACGTGTTTGGATGCCGATAAGCATTTGGATACACGTTGTTAAAAAGGAAAAACACGCTCGGCGAGTTACACGCGTAACTGATCCTGTAAGATATAAGTCTCGAATTATTCTTAACACTAGAACTACTAATTGCAGATCTGAGAGTGAACTACGTATGTTGTGGAAAATGACAGTGAAAGGTAAAAAGAATGTTTCATGCAAAAGTTTATAAATATTTCCTATAGAAAAAAATAAAATATGAATTGGTTATTTTTACTTTAGCAGTTCTAGTATTAAGAACGGTTAATGACGCGTATTAGTGTCACACTATCAAATACGCAAATGTTCGTATTATTAATTTCTACCGTTTTTGTCGTAAAAGTGATCAATTTAAGAGGAATTAAAAAGAGAAAAATTTCACTACGTTTTGCAACTAACGAATGAAATCAATTAGTGACGAGTTCAATGACCTTCGACGCGATGAAGTTCAAGGTCGTTAAAGTAGAACAATTAAGTGAACATTTTAAAGATTTTACAATACTGCCATCTATTCGTTCTCGTCTTTGCAACGACTTTCGCATACGTAAAAGATCTCAATTGCAAACGTCAAGTAATTCGTGCGCGAGAATTCTAATAAATTTCAAAAATCTATACAGGCCATCGTATGACCTGTAGGGAATAATCTGAAATTTTTAATCTACCACGAAGACGAGGAAAACGGTCAGAAATAATAACACCGTGACAACGTACTGCGTGTGTAAATCACGTGAAAAAAATCGGAATCACGTGAACGTGAGCTTGGTAACAGTAAACCGCGAGGACAAAGAGCACTTTGGACTCACCGAAACGTCAACGTCGTCAAAGGCCTGTAGCTCTTATGGCTGTTGATGTCGTGCATAGGGGTGCCCCAGAAATCGTCCTTCAGGATGCTGGTCCACGGGTTTTGAGCGAGCACGTCCTTGTTCCTCACCACCGCGGGTATGTCGTCGTGCACGAAATCACCACCTAACGCGTTCAGGTAACAACCAACAGCGACCAAAGCGACCGTCGCGTAAATACACCATCCGGGCGGTTCGTTCCCCTCCGAGTCGTTGCACCCGCTACGACCGGCCCTCTTGCTGCTCTGGCAACAGCAACCGTTGTTTCGTCGTCTCATGATTCACCGAACGCGAACTACCACCGACGCGCGAAATGGGTTAAACGTTCTGCCGCGATCGTCGGGAATGATCACTCTCATGGAGGCCAGTTAAGCTCTTTCATACGCCGCTATCTACCGCGTTGATAGATCCTCGTGGTAGTAGAACGAGTCCACCGTTCACCGTCACACGACTCGATCGCCGATCGCATCTCAAGCACCTCGAAGACCGCGAACACGACATCGACCGGTTCTTTTTCTCGTAGTATTATCCGTGTAGAACCGGCGGAGTGAGGACATACGAAAATGTGACGAAAATGGCAAAGCTTCTCGTTACGAATCACAAATTACGTACGTTTGTCGCAACGATACGGTAACTCGTGGCTGTTTGCAATTAGACGAGTAATCGTTCTCTTTGAACGACCGCCACGCGATCGCAGAACGTTCGATGGAGACAGGATGATAGAGCGCAGGCGGTGTTTTATTTTTCCTATTTTTCTAGGAAAATCCAGCGAGCATCGGTGACGCGGGCGATACTACCTGCGCTGGCTCTCGTTGCACTCTTCCATTTACTTCAGCTATGCTAGCTTTGAGCATTCGTTGGCCTCGCGGTGAGCTTGATAAATGACTGCGGAGGTTCATTATTTATCGAGCCGGCACGTCCAATGTGTCCGCTTTAAAGAGAAACGGGTTTCGCGCGAGTTGATTGCTCTTCCACAGATAATAGTTCTCGCATGGTGGTCGAGATTGTCCCCGCGGGAGGGTGGTCGGTCGCGTTCTTCCTTTTACCACCACCCTTCTTCCCACCTGCACAGCTGTAACGATGTAACAGCTCGTTACGATCACGGGTATCGGGTTACCCGACGACGCGTCGTCGCGACGTACACGAACTGATTCGAACGATCGAAACACCGACCGATACGTGTTTCGCTCGAATCGCCGCGGTACACTACGCGCCCCTGCGCGAACAAAGAAATGAAAACGAGCTCGCCCTGTCGAAAAAATCGTGCACAACCCGTGGAAACGAAGTGTTCTAGCCACTGTGTTTCAGCCTGGTCGTTTTTGCGGATATTGACATTCAAGATCCTCCTTTGCGGTTCTTTGTAAGCGCACTTCCGCTTCTCGTTCCGTCTTCGCGCACTCCTTCTTCTCTCATGGACGAGCTGACGAGGCAAAAAGACGCGTTAACAGCCAACTCGTTCTCTCATCACGGGTAATTACGTATTCCACTTGACGCTTTCCTGAGGGATCCTTCTTTGGTCTCTCGGTTTCTTCGGCAACCACCGAACACCGCCGGGGAGATATCGACGCTCCGCGTTGACGAGTCGGCGAACAACGGGCGCTCTCCACCCTCTCCCGTTTCTTCCTTTTTAATTTCAGGCGCATCCGTTCCCACGGCCAGTCGACGACCCTGTCCTCTCTCCGCTCGGGAAACTCGCGAATCTCGCGAAATTATGGAAAACGAGCAGCGACATCGGTAACAGGCGGATACCAGCGCGCGGCAGAGAGAGAGAACGGCTGTATGACCCAGATATACGCCATCGTGGCCGAGCTACTTCTATTACCGCGACTTTCCTATGCATATAGATCTATACAAGCGGTGGTATCTGGCCGGAGGCGCGCACAGCACACCTCTCCAATTCCCCGCAGTGCCGCCCCTTTTTTCTTCTCCCTTTTTTTCCTTTCTTCCTTTCTTCCTTACTTCCTTACTTCCTTCCTTAGGTTTCACCCTTCGCGCCACAAGAATCTTCCTCCATTCGTACTTTTCTGCTTCCACGCTCCTTCCTGCCGCGACGCTTCACCCGAAAGTCGTCGAATCTCGGGCGTCTATGTCTATCCGCGTTACACCGGTCTGATCCGGTTTCCGTCGAACCCTCCCCTTAGTAGTACTCGAGGTTTATGCTCTCTGCCTTCGACAAATCTCTCTAATGTTTGAACGGCAGTCAACAAAGTATTATCATCACTTTTGCTATTTTTTTTTTTTTTTTTCTTTTTGCTTGAGCCACAATTTACGACTCGAGTCTGTTTACACGCCCCGGAGACAGCTGCGTAGTTACAACAGGTTGAGACACTCGAAGGAATACGTGTACAGTTCCTTGAACCTTGTCGAGATAAATACGAACGAGATTATAAAGTTCGTGGAAACGGATTGTTACGATGTCTGGCGAGGAAATACTTGTTGCAAGAGGATTTACAGATCGATACGCGATACGCGATGTAATGCTATCACGACGGCACCTCACGAGAGTGGAACCACCGGAACAGGAAACGCACTCCGCGCCATTACCGAACGAACCCCTATGCCGAGAACGAACCGATCGCGAACAACCGCGCGAGTGTCGCGTTCGAACGGATTGGCGAATTCGAGCGGGTCATCGCGACGACGATAAGCGCAAGACTAAAGGACGACGGCATCCGCCCGGTTATATACCCGGCGCACTCTGACCCGCAAAGCCGCGCCCGCGCACAAGCCACCCCGGGGCATTTCCCTCTTGCCTTCCACGCTGACTCTCTCCCTTTCCTCGAGGCCACCTTACGTCGCGTGCTCGCTCTCCTCGCGAACCTCGTGTTTGTTTACCTGCGTCTTTTTCCCAAAAATCTCTCACTTCGAAACCGAGATCTGCTCGCGTGGGTCAGAATCACTATGGGAGGAGTCGGGGATGACTGTTCTCGGTTCGAGTTGGATGACTTCTTCTGGTTCTTGCTTCTGGAAGATGTGAAAATTAGAAGGCAGTTAGGTAAGTTTGTAAAATATCAGCAAGTCGATGATCAGTGGTTTGGGAATTCTTTTCAAATGATCTCTGTGATCAATTTCAATCTCTCAACTTTGGAACGTGACGCGAGAATTTCGTGTCGAGAGGTTGAAATTCGTAAAGAATTCGCGAGATTTTTGATATTTCGGGAATAACTTCTTTTTTTTCTTCTTTTCGTGAGTAATCTTCTTAAGATAACTTATACCGAAATAACTAAATATTATTCGCGTAATTGCTAAATGCGTAGCGTCATGAAGAATATTTAAGGTGATTATAACGTTCGTTATATTGACAAAAACTAATTCCGCTTATTCTTTCATCACTCCATTTAAAGAAAACGATCTTTCCCTGGAATACTTTGAACAAATATAGATCATAAAATTACATTCTTTAGGAAGACTATTTAAGGAATTAAATTCTTCGAGATGGCTACTTAAATAATCACTCTACTAATAACATCAAAAGGAAGGACGTATATAAAATTCATTTTTCTTCCTTATTCCGTTCCTTGAATTGAATTAACAAACTGCTGTCGTGCTGTCTCTTAAATTTTTATATTTTGTCTAAAGATCTTCTTTGATACTGAGTGAGGTAAATGTTTTAGTTACCGTTTTAATTCTTTAACCGTGTCTTTCAGGTATCATTTGTCTGTCAGGTATCATTTATGCATATTACCTTATTGCGCCTTTTTCGCAGTAATCTGACACAGATATCTCCTCTAATTACTACTTGGGAACTTAAATTTCCCATTCCGTTTCTCGCGAATCTCTTCCCTACTTCATTTTTAAATTCTACTTTATTCACGCTTGATATTAATACCACTGGTTATATCTACTAATACAAGAATAATTTTTTCTTGTTCTTTTAATTTTAATCTGAATGAACTTTGTCATTTTTCGAGGACAAAAAGACATAAATAATAGCTCAAGATAAAACTTTTAAAATTAACTTTGATCGAACAATTCATTAGATAATACATCAAACGTATTTTCCAAATAAATTGAATCAACTGCTTGCTGAATATTACGTCGCAAATTATCGTCGCTATCATTTTCCAAAATTCTGCCAACATTTATAATTACACGACAAAAATAATTATCAAAATCGAAAATAAAATTCATTTATATGACTGTAAGGAATGTATACAACCTAATAAATTATTTCTCTTATTTCAATCACGCTTTTTCTTGATTTTACTCTAAAAATTCAAGATCATAGCATATCCGCAATTTGTATTTTATCTTAATAATTTTTCATTACGCGTGTGACTATTCTTCGTTATTATTTTTCTAAATGCAATCTACAGCTACGCAAAACATTGAGATCAAAAGCGAAATTGTTCCATTCGACGAGTTCTCGCAATTATTGAAATCAAAAACAGAACTGGCCATTTACCAGAGGTGAAAGAAGAGCCGGAGTACGTAATCGTTCTTCGTTATTGCCTGCCTAAATGCGCACACGGGGGAGGATTACGAGGGATCAAACGGAGGAGAGCGAATCGGTGGCACTCGAACCACCACCGAACGTAATGAGGATACGAGCTCGTTACGAAGACGATGATGCGATAAAGAGCTCGCCGTGGGATAGCATTGCAAAGTGTTACAATAGAGACACGTTTCATCGCGGTTATGAAACTTTCTCGTTTCCACGACATTCCTCGTCCATCGAACGGATTCTTTCGTGGAAAACTGCCTTCGAATGCCGTTCGAGTACGTACAAATGGTAAAAGTCGAATTACGATTACTATAAACGTTGGACGATCGTGGCCGTTATCGTGATCGACGCCGTAAAAACGATACTCGTTTGCCCGGGCGTAAAGAAGGAACGTGGAAAGTATCGAAGAAGAAAGAGCGCACCAACTTTACACACGTACACAGTTTACTTTACACATCCATTACGAATGTATTGGAACATTTATAGGAACTTTCTATGAATATATTGTGCGCACGTTATGTAAAACATTTTGATATTTTATCAATACTGTGGTCTGATTATATCGGTCAAGTTTGAAAGAAATCTAAAAAATATGTAGAAATTATAAAATATCTAATAAATCACAATACATTATGTCAATGAATCTCGATATTACCACCATCTTTAATGCTTAAAATCACTGTTCACGTCGTATACTAGATTTGTTACTAAGTATATATTTTTAAAAACACGATAATAATCTCTATATAAATTATCAAATTTGTTTTAAATTTATAATCATTAGCAGTCTCGTTAGAATATCAATGAAATTTCAAAGCGTTTTATATTACATGAAAGTTCTTCTATGGTAAGTGTCCGAATATTTTCGGATAAACAGGACAAATTCAGACGATTGGTCCACTTCAAATATCTTTGAAATTCTACAGAAAGAAAAAATTGTACTCATATTTTCAAAGATGTTCGGGGCGTAAGTTATACGATCGATGGTGTATACGTGCACACAGTATGAACTCACGAACAATATACCCGTGCCAGTTTTTCGACGCCGCACGACGCCTCACACCGTGGAAAAATAAGCTCCGATCGATCATGGAATTTCGGCCTGTCGAATCTACAACGCTTTATCATCGAAACGATTTGCCGAACCAAACATCAGCGTCGATCCGCGACGATATTGCTCGCGTCGACAGGCCAATCTTTTAATCTTGCGTACAAACGACGCGCGCGCCTCAACTAAATAACCGTGCGATTTCCCTAGTGAAAAATCGGTGAAAATTAATACAACGCTGCGAATTCCATTCTGTCGCAATCGAGACAATCATCATCCTCTTTTTGACGAACTGCCGACAGGGATTTTTCGAAATATCGAACGCGAAAGAAATCTCGAATGTTCGTTCATAACAAGTTAGTCTTGCTTCCTTACAAATTACCTAAAAATAGTTGTAACTGCATGTACTTTTTTTAAAAAAATTATGCAACAGAACGAAACCAAAGTTAAACTTGATGCCAATATTTATGTTCCACATGTTTACTTCTTCGAGCGTAAGTGTTAAATGGTGATAGTATAAAAGACAAATCCTAAATTAGCTTAGAAACCTAAACTTTAGATTTCGATATTTAACGATACAAACAAGATGTCTATTCAATATCTACTATTTTACGCAAAGAAAGCAAGGAGAATTCTGTCTGTGCAAAAAGACACGTGTTTCCATTTGAAAAATGAATATAATAATTCTGCATATTCAGCGTTCTTTGAAGCATTTATGCACTTGCACTGAGCGAAAAGCGAGCCACCCTTTGCATAATGCTAATTTCCGTTTAATGAAAAGAAAAACAGACGCTGATGCGTATGTTCGCACGATGGTCTCCTTGGCGAGTATTTAATAATGTATCGATGTTAACGATATGCCAAAGGGAATGAAAGATTTTCTAGCCAACGTGGAAAGGTGTCGTTATTACAAATGTAATTCCGGTGGTGACGTGGAAAAGGAAAGCAGAGACAGTAAGAAAAAGACGCGATAGCAATTTCAGGAAGGTTGGATCGTGGCGGCTGCCCATCTATGGCGCTGGGTGGTTTAAACTTTTCCCTCACGCAGAACGGAAGATCCGATTAGAAAGCAGATGGACAAGGAATTAGCATCGCAAGTAGTCGTCATTTCAAAAGCGTGATTACACAGACTCTGTAAAAGGATTACCAGCAGAAATCTGGATTTCTTTCGTTTTTCAGATCGAGGATCGAAACGAACTTGACTCGACTAAACTCGACTTGTGTTTACTTTCACTTCCATCTTAATTCCGTACGACGTGAAATAAATTTGCAGCTTCATCAGAAATTACTATCAACTTCCGGAAAGAATATCTACATACGTGTCTTCTAGGTTTCTAGATTGCTAACCAAGAGTATTTTCTAGATCTGTAATAAATGGAAAAGTGCCAAATACTAATTTTCATTGCACATAGTTGAATTGATAAAATTTTTATTTATTTGACAAATTTTTTTTTTAATTTCACTCTATTATTTATACCTATTTGCAAAATAATTACAAATAGTTATATTTAATAACATTTGACTTCCGTTTCATTAAACAGAATACAGAAACGTGAGTGATATATGTACACGATGTGTTATGGTTGTAGCAAGTATTTTGGATGTTTGCGTTTTAACCTTCTGACAGTATCAGCACAACAGTTTGTTGTTAGCCGGTTTGTGTGAGATTCTATTCAATCTTTGTCCTTGTTCGTGAGACATCTATTATTTCTTCCTGCATAGAGGGAATGTTTAATGATTTTCGATAGAAAAACGAAATTTAATTGAAACATAACTGACATTAGAGAATTAAAGGTCCATTCATCCCAAGACGAGTTCCTTTTCTAAAAAGCCGATGTTAAACAACACGAAGCAATGGCCATGCGAAACATCACGTATCAAGTCCGATCCCATGAACGATCACAGTGTTCGTACCAACAACAACGGGAATTCATCAAAACATTGTAACGGTGCGAGGTCCCCGTTGCCAGAGACAGCCTGGTCCACCACAATGGAGAACTTTATGGACAATCAAAGGTACAGAACATTCGGTCGGTCAGAAGAGAAACGACAAAAGAGAGAGAGAGAGAGAGAGAGAGAGAGGGAGAGAGAGAGAGAGAGCATATATTTAATTAATGTAGTCACGAGATAGACATTGTATATATACTCGGACTGGCTATTCTTGCGGCAATTGTGTAAGTTGCTGGCACAACCTGTACCTACATATATGTAAATATACACACGAACGAAATCCACAAGCACGAACATACGCGCGCGTGTGCGTGCAAGCTGTCGAATTCGCCGCAAAACTCGTACATTTCGTGCCACGACTTGGCTATCCGAGGCGAGACGAGGAATGTACAGTGTCCGCAATTTCCGGTAATGTTCGCGCGAGAACGCTTTGACGCGGTACCAGCGACACCGAAGCTCGTGTCCGCGACATCCGACGAAAATTTACCATTGGTTGTACGATCGTACGACACCTTCTGATCT